CACCCCCTGTACTGAGGCACTGCTCTCCCCACACTGGAGCGGGATGCTGTCAGGTGACACCTCATGAAGAGGCGGAATTGTCACCACTGTCATCTGAGTGGGAAGCTCCTCCCCTATCAGGCCAGGTATGCAGCCAGGGTAGTGCCACCAGAGGCCCAGAGTGGGCATGCCTCCACCCATGCCCAGCAGTAATGAGGGCACCCCTCCCTGTTCCGAGATGTCCATGGAGGCCTCGTTGGGAACCTGGGCTTCTGCTCTGACCTGGCAGAAGTGAGTGGCACCGCTTTTTCTTGGCAGTGTTTCAGATCTGCCGAAAATGGAAGATTTAAATAAACATCTGAGTCATACAATACTGAAACTCACTTACGTGCCAGGGGCAAGGAAAATCTCAATTTACATACCAGGAACAAGGAAAATCTCAATGAAAGCAGACAACAGACGTCAACTGAGATAGTAGACATATTAGGTAATCTGATAAGGACCTTTTTTTTTTTAGACAAGGTCTGACTCTGTTGCCCAGGCTGGAGTGCAGCGACATGATCATGGCTCACCTCAGCCTTGGCTCAGGTGGTCATCCCACCTCAGCCTTCCAAGTACCTGGGACTGCAGGCACGTGCCACCACACCCGGCTAATTTTTATTTTTATGTATTTATTTTTTTGTAGAGATGGAGTCTCCTTATGTTGCCTAAGCCAGTCTCAAACTCCTGGGCTTAAATGATCCACCTGCCTCAGCCTCCCAAAGTGGTGGGATTACAGGCATGAACCACTGTGCCTGACCAAGACTGAACTGTCACCACTGGCACCCACTGAGTGGGAAGCCCCTCGCCTACACAGGCTGAGTGGGGAGCAATAAGCAGGACCCCTCTCCCTCCCAATCAGGGTGGTGCCAGCAGAGCCCCACTTGAAGCGCCAGCTCCCACCAATACCCAGCAATAATGAGGCACCCTCCCCGTTCCCGGGTGTCCATGGAGGCCACGTAGGGAACCCGGACTTCCATTTCCACTCTCCTCTGGCAGAAGTGAGTGGCACCTCCTTTCCCTGGCAGCGTTCCAGGTCTGCTAAGATGGAAGATTGAAATAAGAACCCAAATCTTATCATACTGAAACTCACTTATCATACCGAGAACAAGGAAAAATCTCAACTCGAATGAGAACCGACACTCAACAGACACCAACTGAGATAGCACAGATGTTTGAGTCACCTGATAAGGATTTCTTTCTAATTTTTTGACGGGATCTTGCTCTGTCACCCAGACTGGAGTGCAGTGGCACAATCACAGCTCACTGCAGCCTTGACCTCCCGGGCTCAAGCAATCCTCCCACTTCTCAGCCTCCCAAGTAGCTGGGACTGCAGGTGCACACCACCATGCCCGGCTACTTTGTTTATTTTTTTGTAGAGATGAGGTCTTGCTATGTTGCCCAGGCTAGCTGACAGGGATGCTTCTATGAGCAGTTGTCAACATGCTTGAAACAAGTGAAAAAAAAAAATAATAAAATCTCAGCAAAACATGGCTGTGGAGTAATTTGAAGTTCAGGCAGTTTTCAAGTCGGCCTCGGTTTGACTGTCCTTTGTACCCCTCAGGTCTCCCCTGCACAGGTGCATATTTCCCACGTTGGCCAGGGATTGTGGGGAGCCAATCCAGCCTGTCCGTGGCTCCTTCATTTCCAGGTTCTCCCCGTTAAGTTGCTGACTGGGCCCCTGCTCTTCTCAGCCAGGGCCATGCCACAGGCCAGCGCAGCAGCCGTTTCTCTTTTGGTTCCTACCAGTTTTGCCCCTTTTCCTGATGATATTTCTCAGGGCACGCTTTCATCTTCTACTGCACATCAAGACAGCCCTCAGGGGTGGCAAAAGCTGCTGG